ATATATATATATATATTTGTATGTTGAAATTTTAATTACACTAGCTTACCCTTTTGTTGTCTCCATGATATTGGACTGCGATGATCATACTATGTATGGGAGCAGAGCAGGGATAGGTGGGCGTCTAAGGATGAGTTTTCGACGGACCAGTAGAGCTGATCGTTTTTGTGACTATTTTGTTATGTAGCTACTTGGGATAGTAGCATTGATTGGACTTTGTGTTGTACACTCTAACTCTAGTCGGATAGAGACTTTATATATATTTATATTCTAGATCCTATACTTATATACTTGTCCTTTCTGCCTGGCGTTTCCAGTGTACAGTGGTGTGTGTGTAGTGACCAGCCGGGTCGTTACATTTTGAATATCTCTAAGAATAATTATTTTATTTTTCTACAGAAAATTATCTCATTTTTTTAAATACCAAGATATATATAGTTAATATTTTATAGAGAAAAATACGTTTTTAATCATTATAAAATATTATAATTTGAAAATGTTTTTTTTCCCAAGTTATACAGACAATACTAGTACATTTGATTTTATAGTGTATAAATTAAATATTTATCATATAAGTAAAATCTCTATTATATATAAATAAATAATATATTTAAATATATAAGTTATATTTAGAGAGTATTGGTTTAAGATTTCATAAGGTTTTGAAAGATTTTTTTTGAGCAAAAATGTTTGTTGATATTTGATCAGGATTTTATGTTACTTAAAAATAATCCAATGGTATTCAATCTGGATTTTCAAGATTTTTTACAAAGTCTATTAAAATCCATTGATATTCATTTGAGACATTTTACAACTTAAAAATAATCCATTAGTATTTAAAAATATAGACATTTTAAAGGATTGCTATATTATAGGGATTTTGAAAGACTTTTTACTGGTATCTATAAATACCAGATTCATAAAACAATCTCATCCAAACCCATTAGATTTTTTAGAATTGTTTGAAGTGACTTTTCAAGTACTTTAAGAATTTTTAAGTGAGTTTTTCATCTTTTTTTTATGCTCATGTCTTTTTCATTTTTTTTCTCTTGCTAATAATAGTGTACTACTACTTATATATAATATGGTTCCTCTATTTGGTGAAACTTCTATATGTAAATGATAGTGTTATTGATTTATTATATTTTTCTCTTCGTTCTCTTTAATTGACTTACTCTATTTGACTCTATTTAGTTGAGATTGTTCCTCGGTTATATGATACAGAAAACACTTGAAATTTCAACTATAGTAATTTTTTTTATAACACACATTAAGTAAAGGGATAGGTGAAAGCATTAATAATTATATAAATTTTTTTATAACACAGATTATATAATTTTTTTTATCATTAATTTTATATAAATCATTTTTTTAGTTATATAATTAAATTCTAGACTTAAAATAAACAATTCTTATATATTAAGTATGAATAATTATTTTATGTGAGAATGTTTTTAGAAACTTACTTTTCAGGAAAGGATTTGTAGATTGGAGGGACTATTTTAACTTTTTTTATCTAATTTAATTTTTTATTTATCATAAATATTTATGAACTAAAATTTAATATTTTAAAATATTTTAAGAGTTTTAAAACAAGTTATTAGTATAAAAAATAATTTTACACTATAACATAAATTATTTATCATAAATTTAAAATATAATTTATACGTTTAAAATATATATTCATATAAATTTTAAATATAATTTATATATTTAAAAATAATTTCTCTTATTCATTTAAACATAATATTTATCTATATATAATTTATTATAAATTTTAGTTATATATAATAAACATATAACTTTAACATCCTAGATATTAAAATTCTAATTGAATAAAAAGTGAAAAGATTTTTGAAAAACTTTATCATAAAAGAAAAATTCTAAATATTTTATTTAAATACAAGTCTTTACAAAGAATTTTTTTGTAAACTTGTAATATATAAGGATAGATTTATAAATAAATAATATAATTAAAAATTAAAACAAAAAATATTTTTTTAATAAATCCTCTCATCCTTAAAGACAAAGTTTCTAAAAACATTTTGGAACAAAATAACCATTGATTTAAAAAGTGGTTAAAAAGTGTCAGCTAAACTTTTTTTTGTTGTTACAAGAGCTTTAAAAAAAAGTAAAAGAGAAAAGCAAGATAAATAAATAAAATAGAACTATTCTCTCATAAAGATAAATAAACATTTAAAAAACAAAGATAATGCAATTTTATATTGAAAAATAAAATAATATAAAAAATTTAAAAACAAAAAATTGAATTTGAAAAAAATCATATTTGCCCTATTTTAAACGTTGATACCGATGAATTAGATGAAATATTGGAATCCAAGCGCGAGCAATCATTATTTGTGATTCTGACTCAGGTGTTTGCGCCGTTGCTTGTTGGGGTGAAGCAATGAGACGAAACCATTCTAACTCCGGCAATTACCGGAATCCATGTCTAACTATGCACCAGCCTTGGGCCTCTCTCCTCGTTTACGGGATCAAGCGCGTCGAGGGCAGGTCATGGCCTGCTCCAATCACAGGTTTCTTGTTTTTTTTTCTTTTTTTTTTCCCCCACTTTTTTGGGGTTGAATCATGAATGTTTATGTATGAAATTTTTTATTCCTATTTTTGTTTGTTTGTTAAGGTCGTCTTTGGATTCACGCCGCAAGTAAAGTCCCTGATGAGTCGACAATCAAAGCAATGGAGTACTTCTACAAGGAGATTTATGCACTCAATGGCATCACTGACATTCAATTTCCTCAACACTACCCCGTTTCTAGGCTTTTAGGTATAATATTAATACCACAACCTTGTCCCTTTGTTAATTCACTTCAATTCATCACTCACCACTCGACAATTTGAATGTTTGATTGATACACAGGCTGTGTTGAAGTGGTTGGTTGCTTAACACGTGATGAGTTAGCATGCTGGGAGATGGTTCCCGAAGGGGTACATTACCAATTACTAAACTTTTGTTTTTACTTATTAATTTCTATTTATACACATCATCTTCACTTAAGCCTTTTTTTTTTTTTTTTTCCTTAGGTGAGGTTGGAAGCACAAACTGATTATTGCTGGCTCTGCGAACGGCCTCAGGTTAGTGTCTTTCTACTGATGTGAAATTCCAATGGTTATCACTTAGTAGTCTGTTTGGAAACCTGTTTGCAATAGGAAACAGTTTTGTGTTTTTTTTTTTTTTTTTTTTCCTATTTTGAACATACACACTAAGATTAACAACTGTTTGTATGTATGCTGAGAAAGTGTTTTTTCTTTCAATACAGAAATTGTTGATTCCATTTGAGATGCGGGGATACCAAGGTGTTTATAACCTGGAAAGGAAGGTATTATGGTTAAGTCTCTGTCATGCTTTCTGTTTTTTCTTGGAATGAAGGCTGATTTTTGTACTTGTTCAAAGATCTATGAAGCTGCTGTTAGAGGGCTATCTCCAGTTAATTGTCCGTTGCCCGTGAAATTTCCACTTCCAGATCCACGAGATCCACTTTCCTTGAAGCCATGTTCCATCTCTGCGCTTAGGCCTAATTTAAAAGGAACTGAAGTGGACAAATCATCAACTATAAGTCTGGCCATAGCTGGGGCACGAGCAGCAGCCACCCAGTTCTCAAAGAAAGATCAGAATTCCCCTAGTACTGCTCAGAGCAATGCACTTAATAACATGAACGCTAATAATGAGGACATAGAAATTGCAAGATCGTATAATCTACGAAGCAGGTCTATGGAAAAGGACAATATGTCATCCACTGATTTGAATAAGAAACTTGACGATGAGACCTTGCCTTCATATCAGGAAGAGAAAAGCAGTAGAAATAAGAGTGAGGGAAGCAGTAAGCAGAGTCGATCTCCTGGTGCAGAAGCAGATTTCAGAAAGTATCATCAACCCCCGTCTAAGGTATATTTCTTAAAAATAGTGACATTATGTATGTTCTATTATTATTTGGTAGACAACTCAGCCTCATTTTATAGTTACTGTTATATAATTAAAGCAAAACAGTGGAAATAAAACATAGAAAAATAGAGAAAAAGAAAGAATCTTTCATTTGGTGTAACACTCGCTTCATATCAATAGTTAATTGTATCACCCCCTTATTTTCCCAAAGGGACAGTACATAAGTTATGTGTAACGTTGATATGACTGGTTTATGGACTATTTCAGAACTATATTGATCTAATTCATATAAATTGAGATATTTGTTTTGTGTAGTCAAGTGGATCAAGGGATCATTCAACATAGTGGGGTTACTTGCCTATTATCCAGAATAGATTATCTAACATGTAATAGTTAAATCATAAGGTTGGGTTTCCATGTATGTATTATTAATATGATTTCTTTAATTTATTTCTTAAGACTATTAATATTTATTTTATATATTTTTGAAGTAGGGAGTGTTGGAGGATTTCTCTCACCCTGAGCGGGGACAGAGATGGGTGCCCACTTTTCATTCTTGGCAAGGATGTGGGGTTAGGTTTGGGGAGGCAGGGTCATGTCTAGTCACAAAGCACCCTGAGAGATGTGGTGGCTTTGTCATCTACCCATCAAAGCCATCTAAGTTGAGGCTCTGCCTATATTATGCTAACATACACAAATCATATTTAACATTTTAGGCTTTTAGCACCGTCCATCATTTTCTTGCATCATTGCATCATTGTATCATTGTGTATCAAATCTTGATTCTTATTATTGGAATGATCAAACCAAAGCTGTTCACTTGTGCATGCATTCATTACCTTGTTGTTTCTGAATGCAAAGTTGCTCTAGCAACTCAAGTAATCTTTTTACATTCTCAAATGATGAATCTTTTACATTTATAGCTTGTAGACATGTTTTTCATGAGAGAGGCTTTCTTTATTTGCATAATTAGATTACGTATCTGTCTTCTTGTAAGTTTTAACTTATTTAAGTTCTATATTGGCAACAAAAAAGAATGCATTAGAATATCACCATACAATGCTCAGTACGAGTCATTTTCTCTGCTTACTTTTAAAAATAGGACACTAGTTGTGGTAATATACTGCTAAAAAATACAGGTAGCTAAATTATGTTTGTTCTCTTCGTTATTAGATTTTTGCTGCTGCGTTGAAAAGCTTGAAGCAATGATCGTGGAAGGAGTTTGATCACTTGAAGTCTGGATGTGAATTTGTAACATAATGAATTGTGTGTAACTTTTGAAGCTGAAACAAAGCTTGGAAGTGGTTGCTCTCATGAAATTGTTTTGATGTAGAGTCTTTACTATTATAAATTTATGTCATTTCTAGGTGTCTGAGTGATAGAGCTCAGGTTCTTGTATAATAATTAGTAAATAGACTGTAAAAGATTCTAGTCTGTAGATAACGGGGTGATGGATTGCATCCAAGCATACAGACTCGTGCTGCATGATGTTAGAAATGAATCTTTGTTTGCATCCATCTAGAACAGATCTAGGCATCCCCAAGTCCATAAAATAAAAATAAAAATAGATCACAGATAAGACCATATATATAGTATCAAAATCTGGATTTGAGAGTTTGCATTCACCCTTGACAAACGAGCCTTCTCAATTCCCTCAGATTCTTCTGGTATCTGGAACCTTAATTCCCATTTGTGCAGTGGACTCGTAGTTCGCAAGTCTTTCCCACCACTCTACAATTGGACCTTCATTCTCATTCAAAGATCAAGTACTTGACATTTACAATTCCCTTATTTGATGAACCCAATCTCTTTGCGTGAGGCAGTATATTCTTTCTTAATCCATAAAGTTTTTGACGGAATAGTCTTGGTCAAGGATCCTACTACAAGGACTGTAGGTTTAGGAGAATACAAGATTGGGTAAGGAATGAGGTTAGTAGGCCTAAGTTCATCCTAAGCTATAGGCTACTTGATATTTAGCCCAATATTTCTTATGTACATATGTCTTTTGTTTTGATCTTGTATTTTGGGTTAAATAATATAAAACTTTTTTTTTTTTGAGGTGTAACTAGTAATTGATCCATATAATTAAATGAATTGGATATTGGACCTTGGAGGTAGCGTCTACCCACATGGGTTGGACGCTCACCATGGTGTAAAAAATTGCCTACCATTTCTTCGGTGAGATTCCATTAATTGTTTTGTGATTTCAAATCATGTACTTTAACTTGTGATTTTTAAGTCAAATGATCATATATTAAGGAGCTTGAGCACAAGATGTAACCAAGATAAAATAGACAAAATAACAAGTCTTAAAGCTAATAAGTTGACTGGATCCTTTAAACCTAAAAAAGATCTTTGCACCAAAATAGGCAAGCTATGTAAAGGAAAAAGCAATAAAAACCACCAAACCCACCTTTCTAATTTGTTTTTGTAAATGTATCGAATAACACACTTTTTGATAGCCTTTTGATTGTCCTCCACCACATTAGCCCCATTGTCCAACCATATCAACATTTTGACATGTGGCTTTTTACTTGTCAATTGTTGTAAGACTTATTTTGCGAAAAATTTAAAATTGATCTAAATTGATTCATAACCAATTCAATCTAAATTAAATAAATTTGATATGTCTATAAGGAAAAATTGAACCAATCCATTTTGCAAAATTGATTCGGTTACTGAAAACATTTTTACAAAATGAATTGGTTTGGTTCATTTTTTTTAAAAAAAATTGGTCTATATATGAGTATAAAGTAAATAACTGCATCGAATCAATTTAGGTTAAAAAAATCCGATCTATATTTTAAAAAATCCGGACTGATCTATTTTATAAAAAATGGATTGGGTAATCAATATACTTTTATAAAATGGATTGGGTAATCAATATACTTTTATAAAATGGATACGTTCGGATTAGTTTGAATTTTTTCAAAAGTGCAATCTAATAACACCTGTACTCCCCACAACCACTTCTTGAAAATCACAATTTGCACATCCATTACTCATAACAAATTAACATGTTTACATACAATCTCTCATTAAGTCAACATGAGGTAACATAGTGTAATTCTTCCAAAAATTTGTTCCATTGTCAGACTTGATTTTTTTACCATATCGGTCATTTTATACAAGTTAATATTCTTTTCACTCTTGAAATTGGAGGAGCTAGGAAGCAAGTGAAGAAAATTGTCTACCATATCTCTACCTAGATTCCATCAATTGTTGTGATTTCAAATCATGTACTTCAACTTGTGATTTTTTAAGTCAAATGACCACATATTAAGCAAAATAACAAAAGTCACAAAGCTAACAAGTTGACTAGACCCCTTAAACCAAAAAAAGACCTTTGCATCAAAATAGGTAGGCTACATAAAGGAAAAAACAATAAAAACCACCGGAGCCACCTTTCTAATTTCTATTATAAATGTATCATATAACACATTTTTTGCTAGCCTTTTGATTGTCCCCCACCACAATAGTCCCACCGTCCAACCATATCAATATTTTGACAGCATGCAACTTTTTACTTGCCAACTATTGTAAGACTTATTTTGCAAAAAATTCAAATCGATCTGAACTGATTCATAACCAATTTGATCTGTCTATAAGGAAAAATTGAATCAATCCACTTTGCACAATTGGTTCGATTACTTAATAAAAAGAGAAAAATATAGGTTATCTATCTATTTCTTTATTGATATTATTACGGATTTGTCCGTTATGGGTTTGATGGAATCTTATACTCATAATAAATGACATTTACTTTCTCTTCTCTATATTTTCTGCTTTAAATTTAATTTTTATTACTCTTCGAAGCTAATGTACATATGATCTTGCTATTTATCTACCTCTATATATATAACAAATAACAATACACACGGATCTTTGAAAAAAAATTGAGAATATTTTATGCATAATTACTTTTGTAGTTGTCAATTTTTAAACACTAATATGTAAATTATGCTTATAGGAAAAAATAAATTTTATACTTTTAATGATAAAAGAAGAGTGTGGGTATTATTCTTTATAAGAAATTCCTCTATGTCAAAATTACTTCATTTCATGTGGTGAAATGAAGAGGGAAATTTTTGCGCTATCCTCAAAATAAAGAAAGTACTACTTCGATTAAAAATAAAAATAAAAATAAATTATTGGAGTGCTTCTAGCTAAAATGTTAACATGATCTTGAAGAAAAATATCAAATCATTATCAAGAGAATAAACATAAATCACGCATCATAGTTTAATTAAAATAACTAAATTTTGTAATTATCTCTTCATCTCTTTCCTCTTTTATTTTGTTATATTAATATTTATATTATTTGTATTTCATATTTCTTCCTATATCAGGATACACACTTCACTTTTATCTCTAGGTTATTGTTATCTTGGTCTTCGATCTTTTCGTTTGGCTCTAAGTAATCCGAGTAAGGGGTGCCTGCAAAAGACACTCCGACGTTCAAGTAAGTGATCGGCATAATAAATGCGGTAGTTCAAGTTAGTTACATACCTCGTTGAGGGTCTATTTATAATGGTCGTTATTAGGTTGCGATTAGGGAATGAACCCCAAGAAATTAGGAGGTTAAATTAGTGTATTAGGTAAATTAATCTCTCTTTAATTTACCTAACTCGACTCCGTGTCCTCGAGTATGCGAATCCTGCTGACCGAGTCGGCCGACCCTTATTTTGCCGAGCTAACCGATCCGATCGTGTTAGGTATACTCAGTCGGGTCGGCCGAACTAGGTGTGATTGGCCTGGCCGATTATATGGTATAATATTGATTTTATAATTTTATATAATTTTCTGTTATCAAACTCAAATACAATAGCATTTCGTTTGGTTAAAAGGCATCTTTACCAACTTAAAATATGCATTACAGCTGGTAGATTACTTTTCTAAAGTACGTTCATAATAAAATACAGTTTTTTTAATTTATTTATAGAGAAAATGGTACTCATTTCTCCTAAGTCCTCACCTTTATCTCTTATAAAACAAATAAGGAAAAATATGAGATTTACTTAATAAAAAATAATTTTTGTCCTTTTCTTTATGGTGTTAGACTTGGGGTGTCAAAATTCAAGCTTTCCACGATGTAGCAGCTTAGTTTCAATCAAGTTGTCTACTACAAATTTCCTTCTTTGGAAATCTCAAATCCTATACCTTTGATTAGAGGCCTTAATCTTGAGTATCACATCACATATTCTGAAATGCCAGTTGATAAAGTCATCGACTCAATTCCAAAAAAAAAAGAGCAATGGATGTTGAATGATGGCCATGCTCATTTCATGGCTTCTTAGTGACATGAAAGAAGAAACTGTTAGCATGATCTACGAAAGGGATACAACTTGTTCAATTCAAAATACACTCCATGACCAGTTGTTGCCTAAACACTGAAGACAGCGAGGCTCAATTGAAAAAAAAAATCTCTATGGCTTATCTAAGGGATCTTTCGTCCTTGGATGAATACATAAGAAAATTCAAAGAAACCAGTGACAAGCTTACAACCGTTGGCAAACCACTCTCATAAAGAATTGGAAGCAAATACAAGGAGTTTCGAATTGCAGTTTTATCAAAAGCTCCATATCCTTCTTTTAATCAATTTATTATATCCTTGCAAAACTTTCAACAGCTAAAAATTCAAGTTAAATCAAAATCAACAATTTCACATCAATTTTATAGAATGATGTAACTTTGAGTTCTCAAGTAAAAAATTTGAGCCAAAATTTTGAGGAGGATAAAACTCATTCTTGCTTATTCGCTAATGTTATCATTAAAAAATATAACAACATAGACATTATTACACGTCATTAGTTTAGCTGTTTATCGGAGCAAATGTCATCATAAAGAATAAAAAATCGTTCATGCATCTCATGTCTTCATTTTCACATCCCTCATGTATTTGTAAAAAAAAATGAGCTGTGTATTGAATTATTTGTAGATTTCTGGCATATTTATATTCTAATTTTCTACCGTGCATAGAGGGATATTAGGTATAATATAACTGGTTATTATTATTTTTAATAGAGTCGGCCAATAATTGAAACTTAAATAATCATTGTTCTTAATTCTCTTAACAAAAGCAATAAGTATAAATTTAATAGTTAAACTAAATCATAGATAAAAGCTTGAATTAAGATTAGAAGTTAATTACAGGACAAATCCCATTTGAATCACCAAACCTAGCTATAAAGATTTAGAAATACACAACAAAAGAACATCAAACAAGAAAAACTGAAAAGTATTCCTTAACCTTCTTCAAAAAATTGAAGGAAAAATTAATCATCCAAGGCCTTATTTCTTCAATCCTTTACCGTGGGGTATCCCTTGGTAACCTATATTTTTCTCTTTTTATTAGGTTTTGGCAGCAAAGTTTCTATTTTTAGCATAAATGATACGGAGAGGTGGTAAGCTACAGTAGTTACCCAAGCACAAGATATGCGCTGCCTGAAGCACAGTTTTTGTTATAAGGTTGGGTTGGGCATCCTTTTCCATTAATTTATCTTTTAAGCTTCTAACAAGTCTTTAAGTTTCCAAAATCATATTTTTTCATCTTTAAATTAGCTATATGACGGCTTTCTTCTCTATCAAAATTAAAGAGAGAGACAAAATGATGATTTTCTTTTGTATGTTCCTAAACCTAGATCATTCTTGCCGACTATGAGAAACTAATTTACGAAGTAAAGTGAATTTTGCCTCTTCTTATCAACTATTTTCCATACACACACAATTACAAGATAATAATAATAAATCCATCGATCAATATGTTTAAAAGAGATAATTAATTATTTACCTATATCATATCGTGCTTTGTTGATTATATATACTGTACTAGAATAGCAGAAAAATAACTCTTGACTATAAAAAATGTTTTTAAGAAAACTTAGTTCCAACATATTGCCTTGAAAGAAGCCAAGCAGCAAATATGAAGATATCAAAGGAACTACGTGACTTGGAATATATCACTTCCTAGCTAGTTTTACTTTTAGGTTCATGAAAAAATAGAATGAAGAAGAAAATATAAAACTACAGAAGTACTGTTTTCTTCTAAAGCTTTGTTGCAAGAATTATACGAAACATCACTTCCTGATGAAAAAAAGAAAAAAAAAAAAACACGAAACGTAACATACATGATAATGTAATTATTGAAATAACTAGTCTGCATTTTAAAAAGTAAGCGAATAGTGATGCCTTTAATTCTTTCCTAATGGTTTTTAGGGTTTGGTTTTGGAAAAAGTGTATCAAATTGTTAGGGCGAAGAAGTAGGTGGAACTGATGAATGTTCGCAGAGTGTGAGAAGTTGTTCCAAATAATGTGCTCCCAAATCTTCCAACACGACAACGTTTTCGAGCCGAAGCCGTTCCCGATGCTTTCTCATCTTCCTGTTCATGAAGTTGCGCTTCTTCAGTTCCAAAACGGGAGAGAAACCTCTCTGGAACCTGAAGTCCATGTTGCGAAGCGATTGCAGCACGAGTTGAGGTTGAAAATTGAGAACTGCGTTGTGGCCGCGCGTTGCTAACGCAGCTTGGTCATAAGCCAAAGCAGCATCCTCGGCAGTGTCGAAAGTTCCCAACCAAACCCTCGACCCATTCCTGGTAGAGTCCCTTATCTCCGCCGCGTACTTCCCGCGTCCCCGCCTTCGGACCCCTCTGTATGAAACCTTTTGTTTCTCTTCATTAGAGGGAAATATACAAGAGTGAAGGGAAGGGTTTTCCGAGTTTGGGTTTGGAGTGTCCATATATAATTAAGATGATGTTTGATTTTTTGTTTAGGGTTGATCTGATCTCGTTCTGTTATGGAATATTGGGATCTGAAATAGCATGTGTTGTTTAAATAGACGGTGAATGAGTGATAATTAGGAGTAAAAGAAGACACAGTTGCAGAAATTAATAAAGATATGGGAAAAGAATAGGAGATTAATTTCATGCAAGTGTATGTACCAGTAGTCACACAGTATGTTGTCGCGACACTTCTAGCATCAATTCAAAGTACCACATGCATGCACTATGTATATACGAAGAGCGAGTTTTGTTTGAGGATCAAAAACACTCCATGCAGTACTTCACTCCGAGTGTAGCAAATAAACTCTCCATTCGCTACATGATAAGTTATTTCTTCCAATTTCAATTGCGTTGTCTTTTTCAAGAATATGTTAAATATACTTTGCCTATTTATAATTAATGTGTACGTACGTAGATAAGAGATAGAAAAACTCAGGATCTTCTGATGTTTAAATTTAATATAATCGCTATACATTTTAATGAAAGTTTGGTAAATCCAGAGGCAAATAAGTTAACTAAGAAACTAATTTAATAAAATCAAATTGTTTGGTAAACTAGTATACAAGTATTTTATTAGCTTATACTCCTTCAGGTCTTTTTATTATAAGAGACTTTTATAAGAAGAGTATGTTTATCAGGGGAATATTAAGTGTTGTGTAAGCTCTTCTTTTAGGGAATATTTGGTAAAAAAATAAAAATTTTTCATACCAAGAAGCATGATTATTAAAAATTACAAATTATCTTTAACAAAAGAGATTGTTAACTCAACTCCTAATTAATAATATGAGAGTTTTACTTTTTTATACAAGAATCCAATTAGAGATATTTAATTACTCTTATTATTTTTTTTACAAAAATAATATTAATTATTTTTGTATCTCTAAGTTGAATAAATAATATGCAGAATATATTAATGATTTAGGCTCGCTGTGAGTCTAATTTTGCCTTATGTGTGGAATACTTTAGCAACTTTACTTTACATTTCTACAAGCACACCGAATAAAAATTAGAACAATAAATATATTATTGAAGAGATTGATTGAAAAATCAAAGATAATAAAAATATGTCTCATTAATATAGTTGGTGTAATTTCAAAAAGAACCATATGAATTTAGAATAAATTTAATACTATTAACAAAATTATTTATTTTTAATTACTTATAAATTAGTTAATTGAAACTTATAAGATGGATTAAAAGAAGTAGTATTTTTTAAAATTGTTTCATCTAATGCTTGAAATTATTATTATTTTAAAATATTAAATATTAGAACAACAAATATATTAATGATTTAGGCTCGCTGTGAGTCTAATTTTGCCTTATTTGTAGAACACTTTAGCAACTTTACTTTATATTTCTACAAGCACATCGAATAAAAATTAGAACAACAAATATATTATTGAAGAGATGGATTGATAAATCAAAGATAATAAAAATATTTAAGAAAATAATAATAAAAATATGTCTCATTAATATAGTTAGTGTAATTTCAAAAGGAACCATTTGAATTTAGAAGAAATTTAATACTATTAACAAAATTATTTATTTTTAATTACTTATAAATTAGTTGATTGAAACTTATACGATGGATTAAAACAAGTATTATTTTTTAAAATTGTTTCATCTAATGCTTGAAATCATTATTATTTTTTTATAATATTTTTATCTTCACGATTTTATTAATTAGTTAACCTTTTTTAAACTTCTTATGTTCATAAACTTTAACATTCTCACTCATTTGATTGTTAAATGTTATTTTTTATAATATAAAATTGTTCATATTATAATAAACATATAAATAAATACTATGTATTTTAATATATAAATTATATTGATTTAAAATTTATATAGATAAATATTTTTTAACATATAAATTATATTTTATATCTGTAAAATAATTTATTTGTGATATAAAATTATTTTAATTATTGATAATTCCTTTTAAAAATATTAAATTTAACTTAGAAATATATATGATAAATAAAAATTGAAATAAATAATAAATTAAAAAAATCTCTAAAAACATTTTTCATTAATTTTTTTTTTCACTTTTCTTGCAGAAAAACTCTCATCTAAGGTAACGATTAAATACAAGAGTGAATTATAAATTAAGTTTCATGCTTATTACAAGAATATTACATGCAGTAACATAAAAATTTGTCATTATAAATATTATATATATACATGTATAAATCTATTTTACATATATCTATACACAATTTTAACGTTAATTTTGAATTAAATTTAACAATATATATTATTTATGTCTATAGCTTATACTTACATTTTTTTTAATAAATCAATATATATTTTATTTATAATATATATAAAAATAATTTTTAATGATAAACATTATACGTTGTTACTTAAAATCAACATTTTACCTTTAAATGGTCGCTTATATGAGTGAATTTTACCTCTAGTTATAGGAAAATACTGATATTGATAAGAAAGAAAATAAATTAAATTAAATAACTAAAAACATATTTATAGAAAAATATGTTCATAACATTTTTTTAATGTTTTTTGAAATCATGGCACGTCGAATCAAATAAAAAGAAAGTAGCACCGTAATTAACAAGTAATTTTTATTGCTACCTAGTGAAAAATAACTGCACATTACTAATTTAATATAATTCTTTAATGAACTATTTTTATAAACAAGAAAAATTAATTACAAATATAATTTTTTATCATAAAATCATAATGATGACAGACTACGGTAACCCCACCAGACCTTAGTGTTCAATTAAAAGTATTGAAATAACGTGGCTTCAGTTCAAATTTAAACAGAACACATCAAGTTGGCTTCAGTTCAAATTTGATTTATGAACTTGATTCAATGGATATATATTGTACCACAAGCATCCATGGTTTTCGTAATCATTGACCGAACAACATCGTGATACACACTCATCGTAAGTAATATATAGTATCAATCCCACTCAATTCTGACTCCAAGTTTGTGATTCAAAGGTAAGGGTTGATCCATGTCTAAACAAGGTCACGAGTTTAAATCTTGTCTTATGTATATAGTCGCGTTAAATTTTAAGACCAACTATTTCATTCTTTAAGGTACCTCCAACATAGCGAGAAGATTAATCATGCTTATCCAGGAATGATCTTAAAAATAAAAATCTCACTAAATTCTACTCTTGATCTTTTTATAATATTTAATATGTCATTTTAATCTTAAACTTATAAAATTTATAATTTTAATCTAATTATTAAATATCTTGAAATTATTTTATTAACCATAATCTAATTAAATAATGAGATAAGATTAGATGACATTCTTAATAATTTTCTTTTTTTTCTTCAATATCATAAAGATAAAATGAGATAAAAATAGATTAAGGTTGAACACAAATGTGTAATTTAGTTTAAATATTATTAAATTATTATTATTTTAACATTTATCTATTTAATATCAAACTATGATCAATATTATAATTTTAATAATTAATGAATATATATCTAATAATTAATTTAAAATCATAGATTTTATTATTATTAGACTAAAATTATATAATTAAAAATAAAAGATTAAAAAATGATGGATATTAAATATTATAAGAGACTTAAAAATATAATTTAATTTATTATTTTTAATCAATAATATTGAATGATGGAAATTTCTTGTTTTCACTACTACAAAACACGCTATCTACATCGGTTCTTTAACATCATCTACATCGGTTATAAAACCGATGTAGAAGAGGGAGACGTAGTAAATGTATATAAATCTACATCGGTTATATTATAACCGATGTAAATCTATACCCCTCTAGCTGCCACCGAGAACTGCGTCGTCGCCGTCACCGCCTTCCAATTGTCCCTCTATCTGCTCCGCCTTCGGATCCACCTCCACCATCATCCTCCAAGCCAACACCACTCTCCAAAGCCCCAACAACACCTTCCAATTGCCCCGCTATCTGCTTCGCCTTCGGATCCACCACCATCATCCTCCAAGCCAACACCACTCTCCAAAGCCCCAACAACACCTTCCAATTGGGCCTCTTCACCTTCTCCCTATCCCCATCCCCAGGCCCATCCAACTACGACCTCGCCATCTGTGGTGGTGGTGGTGGCGGCGCAGAAGAAGAAGACAGCGAAGGCAAAAGATTGTAACAGTTGCGAGCCAAGAAGATGCAATTGACGCGGTGCAGGATCTCGGCGTTGGGGTCTCTCTCGAGCATGACGTCGGAGACGGTGACCTGCACGGCGCCCTTGTAGCAGCCGAGCCTGCCTCTGACTCGACCCACGAAGCCGAGCGTGAGGAGGGCGGCGAAGTGCTCGGCGAGGTCGTGGCGGTGGCGGCGGGTGACGGAGGGGGAGTGGCGGTTGTTGAGCCAGAGCAGGCAGGGGACGCAGCCGGTGCCGTCGTCGATAGCGAAGCAGAGAAAGAGGCCGGGCTTGAGGTCGCGGAGGGTAACGGAGCCGAGGGTTTCGACGCGTGAGAGAGGGATTCCTCTGCGGGAGAAGGAGGGAGATTGGGTGAGAGAGAGGAGATCGAAGGCGAGGAGTTTCACGTGCGTGTTACACCATCCGCCACACCTCCCTCCCTAGCCCAAACACAATCTGGGTCGCAGGCGCCGCAGAGGAAGTTGAAGGGAACAAGGAAGTTGAGGAAGGAAAGGGAGAGGATTAGGGTTTTCACGGGGTGCTATACTACATCGGTTATATTGAAAACCGATGTAGATATACTTTAAATATTTACAAAATTGCCACCGCGCATTTAAATTTACATCGGTTTTGTACATAACCGATGTAAATTTGCTTTCATATTTACGAATATGCCACTGCATGCAATTTTTACATCGGTTCTACCTAAACCGATGTAGAATTAACGATGTAGAATACTCACTTTCTAGTAGTGTTTAAACTTGTTCTATAATAAAATGACATATACAAATCTATAGTATAAAAATTTGAAAATCGACGAATGGAAAGTTTTGTTAAGTGTCAATATGTAACGACCCGGCTCTCCAGCTCACAGATCCAGTGGTCAACTACCTCTGAGTCTGTATCTCCCCTGAACTATGGAGGGCGGCATTTCTGGAACTCAGCTAGATCCCGGCTCTCTTGTGACCCCACGGGCCTTGCTGCACCAGCTGCAACTCTATCAACATCCATCCTAGCAAAATAAGCATTTTGCCGCTGCATAGCCATAGCCATAATCTCCATGGCACGGGCTATCTGCTCATTGGTTCTAGTCATCGTCTACAGAAGTAACAACATCTTTAGTATACAATAACTAAACTAAATAACCAACAACACAATAAAATATCACAACAAGACAGCACAACACAGAGTTAACACAACAAAAGCCTAAAGGATCCACCCCCAAAGAGTGTCCACTAGACTCGACCTGCTCTGATACAACTAAAGTGTAACGACCCGACTGGCCACTACACTCACAACCACAACGCACTGAAAACACTAGACAGAATAGAACGAGTATATAAATATAGGATCTAGAATATAAATATATACCATGTCCCAATCCGACTAGAGTTAGGGTGTACAATACAAAAATACATCCAAAAACCACTATATCAAGCGGCTGAAACAAACAAAACATCAAAAGGAGTCAGCTCTGCCTGCCAGCTACAGACTCACCACTAGTCACCACCTATCCCTACTCTACTCCCATATATAGTATGATCATCGCAGTCCAACCACATGGAAACAACAAAAGGGTAAGCTAGCATAAAAAGGAACAACATAAAGGAAGATTTAAGTAATATGAACAAATACAACTATCAACACATCATCAACATACATTTCGTCGGTTTTACAGCATAATCAACAGCTTAACAAAATTAGCTTAAAATACCACAACATTCAGCAATAATAGCACACATCTCACATCATCAGCATACAACTCATCAGCCATACAGCATAACAGCAATAAAACATACAATGCGTCGTCACACATATCAACTCAGAGATCTCCTACAACACCTCAGCCTTTCGGCCTACAACACCTCAGCCTTTCGGCCTACAACACCTCAGCCTTTTGGCCTACAACACCTCAGCCTTTCGGCCTACAACACCTCAGCCTTTCAGCCTACATCATCCAATATCAACACACAGTTCAACACAACTGTACAGCTCCATCAACAACATAAAATAGCATGATCAACAATTTCACAACGTACGACATGTTCAACACATAATACGACCCAATCCTCTTATTTACAACTCATCTATCTTGTCAAATTACCCACCCAAACAACACCAATCAACCTAAGCACCTAAAACAACTCTCAACTTAACCAAATCACTAAATGTGAAATGGCAACCTTCACAGAAAACAGCACATCATGAGTTATACTACTCCTACCATACTCATCCTTATCTCATATGAAAGATAAGAAGATTTCCTACAACTCTCATGAAGACACCAAGTCCTAATTCCTTCATCTACCTTGTGAAAAATTCTAAAAACCGCAACAGCTATAACCAATGCTGGCAGCTTGACCTCTCTTCACTAAAACAGCCATATCGAGAGTTCTAGAACTCCTTTTTGGGTGATTCCAACGCCATTGGAAAGCTAATATCCAAGACTACAACTTTCATGAAGACCTTGAGACCAAATTCGGTCATCAAGACCCACCTCTGCAGCGCTCAATCCAGCGCTTCAGCTGTAACTCTCTGCCATTTCATTTTCCCTTCCACAACCATGGCGGCAAATCCACGGCCATAGCTGCAAGTTTCTGCCACTTCAATTTTTTTCTCCACAGCTATGACTGCAAAACCACAGCCATGGCTGCAAGTCTCTGCCATCACGTTTTTCCCCTTCCACAGCTATGGCTGTGAATCCATGGCTATAGCTGTAGGTTTCTGCAAGTGCATTTTTCTTCCACGGCTATAGCTGTGAGTTTCTGATCTTCCAAAAACTCCATGGATTTCACCTCCGTTTTCACTCAAAACCTCCATGAACATACAATCCAAGGACCCACAGTCCATGCTACAATTCAAATGCAATACTACCAACCACATGCAACCTAAAAACATCAAAAATCACCACATGCATGCATCCAAAACTCAAGAAGAAAAATCATCAATGTTCAACCTTCCATCAAGAAACCAAAAACCCCAACTTTACCCACATGCAACCAACACAACCAGAAAATCCCCAAAATTTATCCAACTCCGAAAACACCCAAAAGCACATTTTTCTTCAAGACAGCCCATGAATCAGCCAACATCAAACATCTCATGAGTTTCTAAACTCATTTCCAACCAATCCAAGCGAAAACTAGCTTCCCTTACCTCGGTGAGACGATTCCGAGCTCCGGGAAGAGAAAGGAAGAAGAAGGAGAAAAGAAATCCACACTCGGCTAGCTCCGCACGGCTTCACTCTAGAGGAAGGAGGAGAAGAACCTCCTAGGTGCTCACGGCTTCAGCTAAAGAGAAGGGAATTTGAGAGTGAAAATTCAAAGTGAAAGGAGAAGGGAAAGTATAAGGTGAGTGATGAGAGGGAGAAAAGAGAGAAGAATGCCACGGGGTCTCACACAATATACTATATTCTCCTATACAGTATTAAGATATACTAAATTAGAATGTTTTTACTGTTCAATGTAAAATACATTTCAAAGAGTTTATAAATTTTAATTTATTATGCTTTGATGTGATTTATATAAAGAAAGCTAAAAAATGATTGATATTTATAATAAATAAACAGTTAAGATTCTTCTAGTAATTTAATTTAACAATAACTAAATTTTGTAAAATTATTTGTTTTATAAGAGATAAAGGTGAGGACTTAGGAGAAATGAGTACCATTTTCTCTATAAAAAAAATAAAAAACTGTATTTTATTATGAACGTACTTTAGAAAAGTAATCTACCAGCTGTAATGCATATTTTAAGTTGGTAAAAATGCCTTTTAACCAAACGAAATGCTATTGTATTTGAGTTTGATAACAAAAAATTATATAAAATTATAAAATCAATATTATACCATATAATCGGCCAGGCCAATCACACCTAGTTCGGTCGACCCGACTGAGTATATCTAACACGATCAGATCGGTCGACTCGGCAAAATAGGGGTCGGCCGACTCGGCCAGCAAGATTTGCATACTCGAGGACACGGAGTCGAGTTAGGTAAATTAAAGAGAGATTAATTTACCTAATACACCAATTTAACCTCCTAATTTCTCGGGGCTCATTCCCTAATCGCGGCCTAATAACGACCATTATAAATAGACCTTCAACGAGGTATGTAACTAACTTGAACTACCGCATTTATTATGCCGATCACTTACTTGAACGTCGGAGTGTCTTTTGCAGGCACCCCTTACTCAGATTATTTAGAGCCAAACGAAAAGATCGAAGACCAAGATAACAATAACCTAGAGATAAAAGTGAAGTGTGTATCCTGATATAGGAAGAAATATGAAATACAAATAATATAAATATTAATATAACAAAATAAAAGAGGAAAGAGATGAAGAGATAATTACAAAATTTAGTTATTTTAATTAAACTATGATGCGTGATTTATGTTTATTCTCTTGATAATGATTTGATATTTTTCTTCAAGATCATGTTAACTTTTTAGCTAGAAGCACTCCAATAATTTATTTTTATTTTTATTTTTAATCGAATTAGTACTTTCTTTATTTTGAGGATAGCGCAAAAATTTCCCTCTTCATTTCACCACATGAAATGAAGTAATTTTGACATAGAAGAATTTCTTATAAAGAATAATACCCACACTCTTCTTTTATCATTAAAAGTAAAAAATTTATTTTTTCCTATAAGCATAATTTACATAGTAGTGTTTAAAATTTGACAACTACAAAAGTAATTATGCATAAAATATTCTCAATTTTTTTTCAAAGATCCGTGTGTATTGTTATTTGTTATATATATAGAGGTAGATAAATAGCAAGATCATATGTACATTAGCTTCGAAGAGTAATAAAAATTAAATTTAAAGCAGAAAATATAGAGAAGAGAAAGTAAATGTCATTTATTATGAGTATAAGATTCCATCAAACCCATAACGGACAAATCCGTAATAATATCAATAAAGAAATAGATAGATAAGCTTGCTAGTGGTATTTAACGATATACTTTACTGATGAACAAATATAGAGGAAAGCTTCTTGATGTCAACAATTTTTATTTTTATTTTTAACTAAAGATTTGAACGATTATAAGGTGAGTACAATCATCCTGTGTTTTTTTTTTTCTAAAATGTTAATGTCATAATGATATCTATAAATAAATGCACAACATGAACATTTTATTTTATTTGAAAAAAAAAATGCAAAAGAAAAACGGGAGTAGAAAAAATAAGAAGAATTTTATTTTATTTATTATAAGAGAAAAAGGCACAAGGGTACGAAAAGAGAGAAATTGATTTTGTTTAAAATTATTGAGTAGTGTAATTTAAATGTATGATGTATATGTATGATTTACGTGTTTAGTATATACATATAGTCTGAAGAGTTAATTTGTACATGTATCATTTTTGTATGTATAGTATGAAGGTTTAGTATGTACATATAAGGTTTAGAGGTTTAGTTTGTACATATAATCTAATGATATAGTTTGTAAATATCATCTGTATACCTTAATTTATCAATATTATATGTTTGTATCATATGTTAATGTACTCAATAAATATATGTTTGTATTATAACTCATTAATAAGAAAAATGAGTAGTCATGTGTAATACACGAGTGTGGAATAAATTTTTTTCTCTACTCAATTTTTATTTTCTGTTATTTGTTATGAGTGTACGTTTTGTGTATGACATCCCCAACAAATTGATATCAAAAGCTTGTTAATTGTGAAGGATCAATGGGTAGTGTGTGTGAAATCCATTAGGTTATAAAGCGTTTTATTGTAAGAGAAACTATTTCTTATGTGAGTTTTTACTATTCGTGTATGGATACTTCTACTTTCTTAGTTGTGTTGGAAGAGTGAATCATGACTAATTTTTATGGGGTTTTCCTTGCCAACTTACTTGTTTTTTTATTGCAAACACTTCGAGCAATAATTTGTGAAGATAGGTGTCATTTTTTGCTTCCAAGAAGTGTTAAAAATTGTGAAGAATGAGATTTAATAAGTCGAAAAAAGTGGTACAGTGACGTACGGGCAACTTATAGAGAGTCCAAGAAGAAAGATTGTAAAGCTCTCTTCTTGATCTATTAATGTGTGAATTATGCAAATTTTGAGAAAATTTGCTCAGCTAGTTCAAAAAGAAAAAGCTTGGGATGTTCTGCATAAAGCTTATGGAGGTGCAAAAAAAGTTTTAGATAGAGAATTGCAATAAAGTAGTGGCTCTAGTTGAGACAAATGTGAAGTTGGTAAAAGGAGAAACAAAGAAGTGTGTTGATGCCACATTGTACAAGTACATTGTGGGATCGCTAAGATTTTTATGAAATAGCAAGTGTGACATCAATTTTGCAGTTGGGTTGGTTAGAGATTCATGAGTGATCCAAGAATCTCACACATGGTTATTGCCATACATATTTTGAGGCACTTGAAGGGAACACAAGAGTATAGCATGTTGTTTCCAAAGGAAAATGACTAGTGTGTGACAGAAATTGAAGCATTTCTATTCTAACTAGTATGAAAACAAGGTGGACAGAAATAGTACTTCTGGTTACTTGTTTCGTTCTCTTACACCAATTTCTTGGTGTTCAAAGGAGTAAAGTGTGGTTGCTCTATCTTCTTATGAGGCAGAGTATATAGTTTCTTCAAAAGCAACATGCCAAATTTTATGGTTGGAATCACTGCTTGAAGAATTGAAGATTAAGTACAAGAAACCAGTGCAATTGTTTGTTGACAACAAACATCTATAAGCTTGGTCAAGAATCCAATTGCACATGGAAGACGTAAGCATATAGATTAAGTTTCATTTCTTGAGAGACCAAGTGAGCAAAGAAAAATTGGAGTTAGTTTATTATTGTATTGAGTTATAGGTTACAAATATTTTTACTGAACTATTGAAGATGGATATATTCAACGAGTTAAGAGAGATGCTAAGAATTGTGCCTTTAAAACATTTGAATTAAAGAGCAGTGTTGAATAGTGTAATTTAAATGTATAATCTACATATATTATCTGTATATATAATTTGCGTATTTAATATATACATATAGTCTGGAGGTTTAATCTATACATATATTATCTAATGGTACTATTAGATTATATATAAAGACTAAATCTTCGGACTAAATATACAAACTAAACATTTAAATTATAATATTCAACATTTCAGTCCTCGAAGTACTCCAATATATTATTTGACAAAGTACATGATGGATGTATTTACAATGATAATTCTTGTCTACGTTAACAAAGAGAACATGTAGGTATGTGTGAGAGAATGATTAAGTGAATGCTTGAATTTGCATTACGTTGGTTTTAGTCTTTTTTACACTCAACATTTGTGAATTTCACATATTTTACATGCTTTCTCCTAAGTTTTGACGCGAAACCAAAGATAACATTAAAATGTCCCCATTATATAGAACTAGGTGAAAAAAGTAATTTGTCTATTTATTTAAAAATAAAAGGACGAAGATAATAAAAAAGATAATGAAAGTTAAATACTAAACAGTAATTTGCATTTGGAGAGCATAAATTAAATTTCATGTTTTAAATACAATGTGACATTAGAAGGTCCATTTAAAGTAAAATAAGATATTTAAGATGCACTCATTAAAGATGTTTTTATAAGAGTAAAATAACATTAAAATTATCTACACCAAAACTTCGAGATAAATTTCTTAAAAAATACTCTTAGGAGGAGAAAAAAATAAGAGAAGTCAAAATAAATTTCTTAAGTTAAAATTAATTGATGCATAAAGACTTATTTAGATAAATTTTTCTACAAGCACTTTTAGGAGAGAAAAATATAAATAAAAATAAATATTTTTTTCATAAGTTAAAAATAGTTTGTGCATGTATTAATTTATAAAAGTTCTCTTCTATTAATTTTTCTAAAATCTTATTTTTAACTTATTCATAAGTTACTAAGCTACTTCTAATTAATGAAAAAACTTAAATTGGTTTTTCTTCTTATTTTTTCTCCCAGAACTATTTTTAGTGAAATTTATCTAATCAAACCATAATTTAAAAACAAGATTTTGAAAAAATTAATAAAAGAAAGTTTTTACATATAGATGTAGTATTATAGTTTATACATAAACTAATTTTAACTTTATGAAAAAACTTATTTCATTTCCTAATTTTCTCCAAAATAGTAAAAAAAAATCAAATTGTGTTTTCAAAATCTATGCATTAGTGGATTTAGCATTTTCGGGAAAAAAATCAAGGACTTAGATCTGGGACTTATGGTATCAAGAGGATACAGATAGGATAGGAATTCAAACACATTACAGGATCCAACATTTCCTGGGATGTTTTCATGCTTCTTATGGTTATGGCCTATGGGCATTCAGAAAAATACGCAATAAAATAATTTTCTGTTCTAGTTTCAACAAAATTGTGATAATAAGAAAATGAAAAATGTTTAGTTTCAAAGATTACACGAGTTGTCACACTATGATCTTCGATGTTTTTTTGCTGCGCAAGGTAAAGCTCCAAGCGCAAAAAAATAATGCAAGTGTATACTGCATTACGGCTAATGCAAGAACTTATGCTTCCAATTCTGTAACACTATTGATTGATGACATTCCTCAACACAGCTTCAGCACGCTGCTCGAGATTTGGTAAGGCCCAATCATGCTGCGTTATGTCAATATTGTCTTTCTCAGCACTCAGACCCTGAAAACAAAATTAAAAGATGACCAGATAAGATTGGTGTTATAGAGAAGACTAAGATTCATTTTAGTCAGTCATGCCTTTACCTACTCCACGTTTGAACATATGAGATATTCCTCTATCTCAAATTACTGTATTTTCCCATTTTCACCATTCAAAATTAATGACTATACTGCAAAGCCAAGGCAAAGTGTTCCCCAACCCCCACTTTGTATATATATTCCCCAAATGATTAACTAAGGATGTGTTTAAGTAAACAATTTAACCAAGATACTTATAGTTTAGTATGTTCTTATTACATAAGAGCTTATCCATAAATTTGATTTTTGATGCTTATGAAAATAAGCTTAGAGTCTAATATAAGAAAGTTGAGTCATTTTCATAAGCTCAAATAAGTTTTTCCAAATACACTTAGTAGAGTGTGCCTACATTTTGCTTCTATTTCTTTAAGTGTCCAATTTCACCTGACTGTCAACCTTGGTGAAAAATCATTTACATCACAGCACCTCGTTGAAATGAATGATCATTTCTACCTTGTGGTATGGCTGAAATTTGGGAAAATGGGAGGCAGGGGAGATCAACAACTCATGGAATCACATGACATTTTTCATCGATTGATCTTCAAATTTAAGAAAAATTTAGAGTAACAGTAACCACATATTTGTACCTTTGAAGGATCAAATCCAAATCCACCCATTTGCATCATACGCTGTGTATCATCTACAGCTGCATCAAAAACAGCACGCATCATACTCATCACAATCTGTGCTATAATGGAAGGAAAAAAAAACTTGGAGAAGTAGTAAAAATTCATATTCATGAAATTGACGAGTTAATAGAAGTGTACATGTAAAAGTGCTCAGCTTTCAAGTCATAACATAACTAACCATTTTCTTCACCCAAGATTAGACTAAACAGTCCTCTTAATCCAAACAGATTGAGGAAGTACCTGAAATACAATCTTTTGACAATTAAACCGAAGTAAAAATGGGAACAGGTATAGATCAATAAAAATGAAGATTACCAAGAGCGACTGCTGACATAGCTAACATCAACTGTGCTAAGGTCTATTCCATTCTGTAACATCGACCTAAACCTCTGTGTCAGTGGAAACGGTATCTTGGCTGTGAGAAAGTTTTAAACATTTTCAAGAGGTAAATAAATAAGATAATAAAATTAATGAATCCAAGGCTATACTGAGGAGATGACTATCATAAGTCAACACATACAAGCTACTACTTGTATAATTATTAATGGAAAAAGAGGGCATCTTGACACTTTAAAATGATAGATATGAACATAGATATCTTGAAGAATATGAATTCAACTTCTCTCTTTTCAATGTTAATACATTCAATTCCTCTCGTTTCTCTCCTAGGTGATAAAGGCTTAAAGACATTTTTCCCATGATTTTGTTCCTCTTCACTTTTTTCTGTTGGAAATGATCAATAACAACAAAACCAACAGTAGCCATATTCCACTAGGTGTATTGGAAATGGCCAATGGTGAACAATCTACGGTGGATGGTGGAGCTGTGCCTTTACAATTGGGGGCACAGAGTGCTCATCTCCAACCAGAGAATAAAGGTTTTTCTTCATCTGCATTTTTTTGAATTTTGTTTTTTTAAAACCATGACTTGTCTAGATCATTGAGAACTGGTGAGTCACATGTTTTGAGAAAAGCAACTAGGTTACAGTGGCCTTTTTGGTTTTAATACATGACTAATTTGGTAAGCTGACTGGACCAGTCACCTGGCCTCTTCACACGTCCAATGGTTGATTTCACCAGTCCGGTTCAAGTTTTATTGAACAGATTCTAGTCAACCAATAAGAAACAAAGAGGGGAAGTATAGAAATTACCAGCTACAAATCCAGAAAAGAAAAAGTTCACCCAAGCAAAAGTAAGAGTCTGTCCAAAAATGGTAAACAAACAGAAGTTAAAGGTAGTGAGGCATCTGCTCATACTTGGAAAAAATACAACAAATGATGATTATAAACCATTATCTAAAGCCAGAGCACTGTCAAACTCTAATTTTTTAACACCTGAGGAATGATCATTGAAAGGTTTTTCTTCATCATATCCATGGCCATGTTTGGATCAGAGAACATCTGTGCTTGCGGATTCTGGACTTGACCCTTTGGAACAAACAACAGACCATTTTCCTTCAACAAAGAGAGACAACCACTTAGTTCGCTAAAAATTGGTTAATTAGACATATTTAACTGCACAAAGCTCGTGACAGAGTTAATAACTTCTAAGGAGTTCTAGACCTGATTTATAAATACAAATTTGAAATTTATTCATCAATTATCTTGTAAACGATTCGGCAAAACAATGTTTGTGCACAAGCAAGCATATAAGTCCAAGCAAAGAAAACATCACAATTCATATGGCTGAATCAATTGCCCCAAAACATAAGTCAACACCAACAACAAACAGTTAAATGAAAGTATCAATCTCCAATTTCTCCCAGTCAAGAATCATACGCAAAAGTAGAACATAGACCAAGAAAACCAAACCTCGTTGCAAAAATAAATTTTGCGGGCACGAAAAGCCTTTGAAGGAACAAAATTTGCTCCAGTACGTAAATTCCGAGCTCTGAGAATCACTTGCCTGGATTAATATGACGACAGCGTTAGTTTGGTATGAAATTAAATAAAGAAATGCACATAATAATTAATCAACTATTGAATGGAAATACCCTTCTTTAACAATTTTGGCATCAGGAGTTTGGGTAGAGCGCATAAGCATAGAGACAAAATAACGGAGCACGCCAATGAGAACCATAACCACAGAGAGAGGGATCAGCACCCAGTCTCTGATTGCAGTATCCAGAACCAGATCTTCCGCCATTGCTCTAATACCTACAACATCACAAATCTTCAATTACAAAATATTCAGAAAGACGTTAATATTTATAGAGGCAGAGGAGACTCAAAATTGTGCATTAAGGAGACAAGGAACTTACTACGTTGCACTGTTTGATTCGGCCAAAACGAAGCCGCTGATGAATTACGATGGCTCACTAACAAATACCGCTCCAAAAACTGCGTTATTCGGGCCTTCTATGGCCTCAACTCAATATTCCAAAAAACATTCATAAGTAAATTCAAACTTTATAAATACCAAGTAAATATTTATTTTTATATAACTAATAATTTAGCAACAGCTTAAATATTTGTTTATAAATTTAAATTTAAAATTAAATTATGTATATATAAATTATATCTAAAATTTAAATAAATAAATATTCTTAATGTTTAAATTATATTTTAAATTTATAATAAATAATTAATATTATAGTATAAAATTATTTTTATTTATTTATTATTTATTTTAAAAATACTAAAATTTCATTTATAAATAATTATCATAAATAAAACCGAATTTGATATGAAGATAAAAAAATCTTTAAAATTTCTTTAATTTAAGAAAAAATTTCTAAAAATATTCTCGTACAAAATAATCATTAGTATTTTATACATAAGAGTTAATATTTAATGATAATTTATTTTTAAAA